ACACAGGAGCCATCTGTGAGAGAAAACCCAAGAGCCTTTGGTCATTGACTGAATTGGAGGAAAGCCCAAGAGCATCAGCCCTGAGTGGCCAGAAGAGTGACCACCACCTAGAAAAGGGAGAGAAGTGGTAAAGGACCTTGGAACACTGGGGGAAAAGATTCAGCACTGGGCTTGTTGTATTTGGCTGGTTGTGAAGAATCAAAGTGGGAAAGTCTAGTGCTCATTGGGAAAATAAGGAACCAGGAGTCATGTGAGAAGATAGAACTAGAGGATAAGTGGCAGTCATCAGCTCCAGGCAGACACTTAAAGTTCCTGAGAAAACAAACATGAAAGCCTTTCTAATGCCATTAGCAAAAGAGTGTTTTTCAGTGTTATAGCTTAAGAAACAAAAGTCCAAGAGACATTTATGAAATGACCTCAGCTCTTTTTATAGAAGTAGAGGACATGGAAGCTAGTTAAATATTTTAATAATCAACTTTTTTTTGTTTTAGACAAAGTCTGCTTGTGTCGGCACCAGGCTAGAGTGGAGTTGCCGTCGGTGTCAGCTAGCTCACAGCAACCTCAAGACTCTGGGCTCAAGCCAAGCCTGCTCCCTCAGGCCCCTGGTAGCTGACTACACATGCGTCCCATGCCGGCTAATTTTCTAATATTAATATTAAGTTGCCCAATTAATTTCTTTCTATTTATAGTAGAGACGGGGTCTCGCTCTTGCTCAGGCTGGTTTCAAACTCCTGACCTTGAGCGATCTGCCCGCCTCAGCTTCCCAGAGTGCTAGGATTACAGGCGTGAGCCACCACGCCGGGCCAAGAATCAACTTTTTAATTGCTTAAAAAAAAAAAGCCTATTGCAGCAATTGAAGACTGAATTCAGAGCCCTTGACCTTTTGAAATATTTTTTTTCCATATTCATTTTATTCTCTCTTAGTCCAGAGCTGAGTACTGTGGTGGTTTGTACTGTGTCACTTAGCTAAGCTAGAACTACATTTCCCAGAATCTCCTTACCCCTGCAGTTCTGGATTAGGGTTGGCAGGAAGAAAAATATGCATGAGATTTAGAAGGCCTAAGTGACACCTTAGCCACCACAGTAGCTTGTGCACCTCCTTGCTCATCACCGGTTCACCTTGTCCGGCTGGGGGTGCAGCAAGTGTGGTCAGATCTCCTACAACTTCCCTAAGTCCTAGGCCAGGAGCCTTGTCAGAGCGCTTGGAGAAGGCAGCATCGTTTCTGCAGGTGGCCTGCATCACTGGAGCGACGCGGTCGAGAGGCCTGCACGCTGCGGTTTGTCCTAGCAGATTTCGTTGTCTTTGCTTCCCTCTGCCTGGAGTCCAGCCTTCCCTCCTGGCTGCCCTGCTGCCCTGCTGCCCGGGCTTTAGGCCGGCAGCTGTCCACAGACTTCGCCAGCTTCCCTTTGTCACCCTGATTAGTACATTTTTCCTCCTCCCTCCCCCCTGGTCATCCTCTTCAGCCCTTTGCTTTCTCAGCTTCTGTCACAATTGTGTGATGTCCAATCCCTGTAAGAAATTCCATGGCCATGTCACTCACGGGGGTTCTGCTTCCCTGGTGCAACTGCTCATGCTGTCTGCAGATTAGCCAAGGCCTTTCTATACCTGATCTCCCTGTAATTGCATTTTGTGTATTTTACTTATTCTTAAGGGACCATTGGCTATCAGTAAAGGATGATGAAATTTTAAAATGCATCTTAATTTCTTAAAATAGTCACCATGATAGACTAGAAACCAACATTAAAGTCCTGGCTAAAATAAGGTCTGGGGAAAATATAGGCTGTAGGTGCCTGACTCTGAGCACCCAAAACTACCCAACTCCGGCTGTTAAGTAAGAGAGAAAGAAACTTCTAACTTGCTAAAGCCATTGTTATTTTGGTCTTTGTTATTTCAGCTGAGCTTGACTTCTAACCATTGCACACACTCAATATTTTCTTAATCAAGTTCAGTTATTTAAGTACACGCACATCAGAAACTCTCTTCTGATCATTACCATCCTTCTCTTTTATCCTGGAGCTCAGCCTTATAAAAAGTACATGCTCACTAACTTAACAGAGCTTCAGAAGAAGAAAGGCTAGGTCTCTATCTTGCAAAAATGCAGAGTGGTTCATTTAACAGCCGGGTGGATGGACAATAACACACTACTTGCATTCATTCTTACTTCTGATGTATCTTCAAGGAGAGGACTGAACTGAAAATAATGAACATTTCCCATCAAAACCAACACAGGGTACCTATTCTTGTCTTGGACTAGGGACTAACACTGAATTTCAGAAGACAAGAGATGTTTTCATCTATTTCAGCAACTCACTCAAACTCTCTGAGATTCATTGTCTTCATTTGTAAAATTCGGTGCATATCCTTTCTTCAAAGGCCTGCTAAAGGTAAAATGAAGTACTCCAAAGTATGTAAAAACTGCCTACCACAATATTTGACATAATGGGTGTCAATAAATATTAGTGGAATCTAAAGATTAAATTACATATTAAAAGAGTTAGTGTAGAATGCTGTTTAAGATAACTTCTAGAAGGTAAATACCAATCAGCCTCTAGTAATTTCTTCTAAAATCAAATTGGGTTTCCCAAAAAGGGGAAATCTTGCTCTAGTACAGTAAGATATCAAATGACATATTAGAGACTGAAGGATTTGCCATATTTTTCAAAATTACCCAAAATCTAAAGAGAGAAGGTGTAGAGGTTGAATGGACTCTAAGCATGAATGGATCGGTTCAGGAAGTTTAAGATCAACATCTTCATATTATAGTATGTGCCACGACGTAAACTCTTCTCACCTGAGAGGTTCTCTGAATTAAAACGAAGAGAGCATCCTTTTCTTTTGCTAAGCTTTTCTTTGATTCTTAGTTAATTTTTGATATTTCAAAAGATTGGATTAAGAAAATTGATGGAAAAAGGAAATATTTTTAGTTTTATGACGAATATAGGGAAAAAAGATGCTGGCAAAGGAAAGCAATGGAACAATAACTACCACCTGCAGCTTAGCAAATGAGGACAACTTACTGTACTTATTCATATAGAAACGTTCACAAGCAAGGTTGTTGTTCCTTGGTGCAAGATGGCACCCATATCTTGCCCTCTGATAGACTTTGAAGAGTTTCTTGAAATAAAAATGTAAATAAGAAGCTAGCTCAAATTTCATTAGCTCAAAGTATCACAGTAACCACATAAGTATCTCCTAGGTACACAACAAAGATAATTGAATCCTGAAATAATGATAGAAACCTGTTTCCAGGAAACTGTTTATTAGTGATAGATATCATTGTTAAGTCTTAAAAAGCAGGGCCAAGGTTCAGGAACAAAGTCCTGTGGTATTGTGATGTTTACTCTCTGCCCGTGCCCAGTCTTACACAGGGAACTATGTCTACTCCTCGTGCGGGCTTTTGGTCATCCATGTTGGGGGACATGGAACCCCATCTTGCCACAGCCGATTAGGCCTGAACTTCTACCTCTCACTGGGCACAGCAAAGAGCAGGGTTGATCAGTTCCCTCCACCCCCAACTCCTCTCTCTCTGGAATTTTAACAAGTCAGTATCTAAGAACTGAGCTCACTTCAAAGCAGGAATAGAAGCTAAAAAATGAGGAGGCAGAGCTGGAGCAGGAGGGGCCGTATCAGCCACGTGCAAGTCTAGTTGTTAATGGGCTGAGACGAAGGAAGCCAAACCTGCTGGTTGCCAACCAGAAAGAGGCAGAGAATGCAGCTCAGTCCATTCAACTGCAATCTCCTTGAAGACAGGGACAATGTCCATCTTGCTCATTACTGTTTCCCCAGCATTTAGTATAATTCTTGGTTATTAAAGACTTAGTTATGCGGTGTGTACCACCTGAATGACAGGTGAATGAGTTAGCAATGGTTGGCTACAGCAAATTCTCACATGGCCTTCTGTTAGAAACTCTAGGTACCTGGCACCAGAGCCCTCCATTTTTCTGTGCAATTCCTTCTTCAACACAGCCTATGGCTTCTTATTGGCCCTGAGCCTCCAGTGCTTCCCTTTATTTGAGCCAATTTGTTTGCCTCCTTGAACCTTGCCAACAAGTTCCAAAACCAACTCTGTAATAGAGAGGGAGGGACTGAGAAAGAATGGAAAAGGAAGGGAGAAGAATGAAAGAGAGGGGTTGGAATGGGAGTACGAGGCAGGAGTGGTAGAGAGAGACTACCTTTGATTTTTAAGCCCTTTGTTTTCCTGTGTACAAAAGACCCTTCACCACCTACCTACAGAGAGGTTCGGACTAGGGGTATGAGGCTAAAAGACTAGAGCCTGCAACAAACTACTTATTCTACTAAATCCATCTCTGAGAGAGTTAGCTCAAGAAGACTATTTAAACTTTGTCATTGGAGCAGACTGGCTATATAAAATACAAAACAGCACTGTAGCTATCTCCCAGTGAATTATTTGCCTTGTGTTGAATGGGAGGAACTAGACTGCCATTCTCCTGTGTAATGGGTGAGAATAAAGTGCCCTGGGAGGTGACTCTAGTGAATAAAATTTACTAAAAAAAAAAAAAAATGCATCCTCCTTCTCAACTCATAATTCCCTTCTCCTTCTCTATTACTGGAATGCATCCACTATTGTGTCTTTAAGAAAATCTAAACACTTGATTGTTTTTTTCTTCCACCTACAAAGAAACTCATGGATAAGATAGAGGTAAATGTTACCGCAGTAAACTTTACTTTCATAAAACAATGTAATTCCCTTGGGCAATAAATATCTTTTCAGGTCTGGTTCACCCCCTGTCAGATGGAGTTAAAGTATCCTCACATGACAGATAAAGGGAAATTTATCTTTCAGTTGAATACTAGCCCTCCACTTTTCAGAATCGCATATAAGCCAAGAATACTTTCTGATCACTAATATTATCCTCGTCTTGCTTCTAGTGCTTACTCGTGCTAGGTACTATGGCAGTAGGATGCTCTGAGTGGTCAAAAGCACTGCATTAACATTCATAAGGGGAGAGAGGGAAGGAATAAAGAATAAAGTACTTACTTGGTCCTAGACCAATTGAAAAAGCAGCAACATAAACAAGCAAGCTGGCTAAGGACAGCCACTTCAGAAAAGCTGGGACATCCGTAGAGTCCGTGACTATCTGGTATTCAGTGTGGCTGAGTCCAGCGTTGAGTAAGGATGCTGAGGTCGTCTCCCCTCCCCTATCCACGCCAGTTCTCGTGGGCATGAGTGAGCTTCTGCTCTGGGAAGCGATGCCTTTAAAGTGCTCTCTCAGAGTGCTGTTGCTGGCCGACAGGTTTCCTGGTCCATAAAACGCAGACTCATCCAAGGACCGGTTGACAGGACTATGGCTGCTGCAGATATGGGTGAAGTTCATGTGGATGTTGAGATTCACGATACCCATGGTCACCAACGAAGCCGCCATCACGGAGGAGCCCACGCAGAGGAAGGTTTTGCTGCCGACATGGTCGACGAAAAGAGTGGCTGGGACAGTGCTGATGACCTTGACCACTCCAACCCCAGTGGAGGCAAGGCTGGCCGCCTCATTGCTCTGAAAGCCAACAGACTTCAAGACAGTCGATGCATAGAATAATATGTTTGGCTGGCCGGTGGTTTGGACAAAAAATACCAATGTCAGGCCTATCATTATTCGGGTCCTCATGTTGTCCTTCGAACGAAACAGATCCCAAAAGCTATACTGATACTCATCTTTCAGGGAGGACTTTATCAAAGTGAGTTCCTCGGTGGTGTCCGAGATGGCTCTTAACCTTCCAAGAACCTTGCTGGCAGCTTCCTCTTGTCCTTTCATCACCAGAAACCGAGGGCTCGGGGGGAGAAAGTGCATCGCGACTGCCTGCAAAACTCCCAGGGGAATAACAAGACCGAACATATACTTCCAGCCCTGGGAAACGTTGGCAAAGGCATAATTCGAAATATAGGCACAAAGAATGCCGGTGACGATCATGAGCTCATTCAGGGACACCAGAAGGCCTCTCCTGTGCTGAGGAGCAATCTCTGCGATGTAAACACAGGTGGCGATGGAAGAGAGGGAGATGGAAACCCCTATGGCCATGCGCCCTACGATGAGAAGCGTGTAAGACAGGCTGAGTATCAACACCAGGCTCCCGAGTCCCAGCAGGCAGGACGACAAGATGATCGTTGTCCTCCGTCCATACCTGTCTATCAGGACCCCTCCGGTGAGCGACGCCAGGAAGGCCCCGATGAGGAGGGAGCTCACCACCATCTCCTGCTCGTGGCAGGTCAGGGCCAATAGGGTTTTGATCTGAAGAAGAGCCCCAGAGATGAGCCCAAGTTCATAACCCACCAGGAGGCCACTGACAGCGGCAGTGACAGACGACAGGAAGGTGAACATGCCGCAGCCTATAAACAGAGAGGGGAGACAGACAGGGGAACTGAGATTTTACACATTTTCTATCCGAACAGAGACTTCACTTTGTGTGTCTTTCAGAGCTCTGAGTTCAAACATGCACACAACTATCATCAAATAACACATTATCCAAAAAATGACCAGATACAGAAGGAAAAATCATTTTTCTTTCTTTGTTGGGAGCAGAGGCATGGAGACATTTAGGAAGTCCAGTTTCCCTTTTCTTTGTGATGTTGATGTCGTTTTTAGTTTAGATCAGATGGCCACACGAGACAAGCAGATGACAGAGGATAAAGACTGAGCAAACAAGCATACTGTTTAGTTTCTGCCTTGGCATCAGATCAGAAATTCAGAAAGCCTGGCCCTTCTGGTCCCATTCCAGTTTGCTAAAGGCAAACCTTTGAGGGCAGGAGAGGGGGGGAGGAGCTTCTAGAAGTGCTACAGGCTCCCTGCTGGATGGGCTGGGCCATCCACGGAGTCCCGGGAAATTTGCCCTCATGTCTCCTTGGCCACAACTGGAGCCCAGTTGGCCTCCGCCAAAGCACATGCTGGGGTGGAAGGTTGGGGTGGGAGTGGTGGTTGTGAATGACTTAACTAAGTCAAGGTCGCGTTGGACAGAGGAAGTGAGAAATGGATGCAGGCTAGGAGATCAGCAATATCCCTTCCTCACTGTGTAAGGAGAGAGGAGGAAGGATCATGTGGAGAACAAAGGAGATTTTAAGTTTATATTGTATTGTTCATGTTAAAATCCAAGGAAAGTCCTGGTGTGGTGGCTCCCACTTCTAATCCTAGCACGTTGGGAGGCTGAGGCGGGAGGATCACTTGAGGTCAGGAGTTCAAGACTAGTATGAGCATGAGCAAGACTCCGTCTGTACAGAAAAATACAAAAATTAGCCAGGCATGGTGGCACACACCTGCAGTTCTCACTACTGGGGAGGCTGAGGCAGGAGGATTGCTTGAGCCCAGGAGTTGGAGGTTGCAGTGAGCTATGATGATGCCACTGCACTCTATCTAGCCTAGGTGACAGAGTGAGGAGACCCTGTCTCAAAAAAAAAAAAAAAAAAATCCAAGGAAAAATGTCAAGAGTTTAATTTGGGGTAGTAGGTACACATATATGTTTATTATATTATATTATTTATATTATATATATTATAAAGTTATTAATTTGGGGTAGTAGGTACACATATATGTTTATTATATGTTTGTAACTTGTCAAAATAGACAAAAAGTAACTAAAAGCAGAGTGTTGCAGGCCCAGGAGACAACAATTTCTAAGGCCCTGGGACAGGAGAGCTCCTGCCATGCATTAGGAACTGTCACAGGGCCAGCACATGTGTGTGGGGCACAGCGTGAGTCCACAGAAGGAGGTGGGAGAGGCGCAAAGTGAATTTGGCCAGGTACGGAGGAGGCACTTCATGCAGGGCCTGGCAGGGCACAGGGATGACTTTTCATTGTGTTCCAAGTATAATGGGGTTGACACCTATTGAATGGTGTAGACGACATTGGCACTATCGATTCCTTATTTGTAAAAGTCGAAAGATTTACGCGATCTGAAGAGAAACCAGAGTATGCGGTTTCTTGTTTGTAAAGGCCACTATCGCTGCTGTGTAGAGACTAGTTCCTCAAGGGGCAAGACTGGTAGCAGAGAGGAGTTTGTTGCCTTGGTTTGGACAGGAGATAAGGGTTATAGTTTAGACTTGGGTGTTAAGAGAGGAACCTGTGGGAGACAGGTAGGCGGATTCAAAACTTATTTTGGGGCTAAAAATGACTACGCTTGCTCAAGAATCGGAGGTGGAGGGTAAGAAGTGGGTCAGAACCCAAGATGGCTCTGTGGAGGCTTGAGCAGGTGGGTGGATGATTTTACAATTGTTGATAGATCATATACAGTACTACACACTGCGGTGCAATGTACCGACATGGGGAAGATCAGAAATGGAACTGGCTGTGGGTGGCAATAAGAGGAGGGGTGGAAATCAGAAGTTCCATTTCGGACTTAGTGAAGTGTTTTATTTGTTTTACCTGTAAGACATCCAGGTGGAAATGTCAAGTGGGTATACAGATTTGGAATTTGAGAGGTAGGTCAAGGCTGGAGATAGGTATTGGGAGTTAGCAACATGTGCTTGGTATTTAAAACCATGGGAATGGGTGAGATCACTTAGGAAGACGGAATAGAGGAAAAGGAGAAACAACATTAGCACTGGGACCTGGGGAGCTCCAACGTTTAAAAGAGGAGGCACAGCTCAGGCGCTGGAGAAGCAGAACTGAAGTGTAAGTTCAATGGGCTAGAAACACGCGCTTGGGCACACAATCATTGCAGGCCTGCCTTGAGTGGGTGTAGGGTGCAGTTCTAAAACGCTGTTCAGCTCCAGTGAAAGAAACAGGTCAAATAAAGGTGATCTAAATCCCTTCCCATCACAAATATCCAAGGCATTTTTCTATCTTGGCGATCTTGGTGGGATGGGGAAAGTGGGAGACTCCCAAAAATAAAATCAAAAAGCATTGAATATTTAGATGAAGGAGCAAAAAAAAAAAAAATACAATAATCCACAAGAAATAAAACTAATTTATGAGCAGTTTGAACAAAAACCATCAAATTGAAATTGAATCAACAATTTATCTAGCTAATAAGAAAACAAATATTTAGCACCATTACGTGACAGGCACTTTCCTAGGTACAGGAGGATATATATATATATATATATATATATATATATATATATATATGAAATAAAATGGATATATGAATAAATAAAATAAAATATATATGAATAAAATGTGGTCCTTGCATACAAGACATTCTGGTAATACATCTATTATCTATTATGTATTATGTACTGTTTTATTTTTCTTACATGCAAAATGACTTTAAAGTACCCTCTTATAAGTTCATTCATGTCCTCAGTTTCCACACGTTCCTTTTCCCATATAATCTTAAAATCCTTAACAATAGGTTCCTCTGCCACAAGGAGAATTAGGTCAAATGCTTACATTTGGATGAGGATATTGTATTCTTCTTATCTCTACTTGTGGTTGCTCATTTTATCTACGTTGGATGTGTTGATTTTTTTTTTTTTTTAGACAGAGTCTCACTCTTGTTGCCCTGGCTAGAGTGCCGTGGCATCAGCCTAGCTCACAGCAACCTCAAACTCCTGGGCTCAAGCAATCCTGCTGCCTCAGCCTCCCGAGTAGCTGGGACTACAGGCATGTGCCACCATGCCCGGCTAAGTTTTTCTATATATTTTTAGTTGGCTGATTAATTTCTTTCTATTTTTAGTAGAGACAGGGTCTTGCTCTTGCTCAGGCTGGACTCGAACTCCTGGACTCAAACAATACGCCCTTTTTGGCCTCCCAGGGTGCTAGGATTACAGGCGTGAGCCACTGCACCTGGCCTGGATGTGTTGATTATTGTGTGTGTTCTGGCAATGGATCCCTGACATTCTGACTGGAGAAATAAGTGACTTTGGAGAATGAAACACTTGGGAGGCAGATTTTTTGAGGCCTCCCCAAGGGCCTTTAGGGCAACAGAGGGCACCTGGATGCACTGAGTTAAGGATGTAGGGAAATTGAGGCAGGAACTGTTTGAGTAGCAGATGACTGTCCTTGCCACCTTGTGCTTCTCCCTTCCCTTCCTTGTTTCCCTCTTCATTAGATAGAAAATACTGTTTCCCTACAAGAAGATTCTTTGAAATACAAGAATCCCTTCTTTTGATGCTCTATTATCCTATTTTAGAGTTGAGGTGGTGCATTAAATGGGGAGGCGTGCCACTAGCTTCTTCTAGTGCAGGGGACAGAACTTTCTGGACTTAGATCATTTACCTAGTTCCTTTAGCCAGGGCTCACGGCACACTGACGAGCGGGCATGTGTGCAAAGGGCCTGGAAGCCAGCCCAGTTACTCAGTGTCCCTCTCCAGACCCAGCCCCTAACACTGAGTGTAATTCTTCAGAGACATTATAAAATCATTTCCACATAAATTGATAAAAAACATTTCACTTTAAATTTCATATCTTACAGCATGTATCTCCTTCTCGTTATCCATCTTTCTATTCTCTCTATCTATCTGTCTCTAGGCAATTTGTCTTTAAAAGGTTGAAATTCTGCACTAGGACAGTCTGTGATCCTAGTCCTGCAAAAAGGCCTTACCAACATGGGGTTTTATGCTGCTGAATCAAGCTACGGTCTCAGTGGTCTGAATTTTGTTTCTGTCTCCTATTAACTGCATTAAGGGGACTGCCCCAAACTAGCTTCCCCACTCACCTTATTACTGACGAAGCTCCACGCCAACCCTCAGGCTGCCCATTTGGGGTTCTGAATTCTAATTCAGCGTTTCAGGCTGGCCCCTAATGCTTCCAGGATTGCAGATCAGTGACACCTCAAGACTTGCCATAGTCAGAAACTTTCCCCGTGCTATTTTACCATATAATAACAATGAAAAGAAACATAAAGAGTGGGAATTTTCCCTGCATTTTACTTAGTGATAATGACAGAAACAACATGTTATTCTAGGGATGCCAGAAAGTAGAGATAAACTTTTCTAAGAAATCCGGCCATGAGCAGGAAGCAAGAGATTGGAATGCGGTTTGAGGCGATGGCAGGAAGGTAGGGTTTGTGTTTGTCTACACATGGATGCAAGAGTCCGGGACAGCCGGGTGGACTGAGGTGAGGCCGCCAGTGCTGACAGGGAGGGCAAGATGAGGATTCTCCATGAGTGCTTTTTCAGAAAATACCCAGCCCCAAAGTCAGTCTGCCCTTAACAATGACGTTGACCATGTGCGCCATTTTGTTCATGGCCCTTGACCTCCTTGTTTCCCCAAAAAGGGCCACAGGGGAATTCTCAGCTTTCTGTGGACACCACGGAAGTGGAAACTACCTGGAGACTTGTAACCAGCACCCACAGGCTGTGTGGTTATGTCTGTCCTCTGTGTCTTCTTGCTGCTATTGGGGCTCAGAACACGATACCTCCAAGTATGGCGCCTTGGTGTGCTGAGGACTTAG